CGCTGACGACGACAACGACGAGGCAGGAGGGAAGACGACGACGAGACGACGACGACAACGACGACGACGACGACGGCGACGAAATAGGAGGGGCGACGACGAGATGCCGACGACGGACGACGACGACGACGACGAGGGAGGAGGAAGCACGACCACGGCGACAACGACGACGGAAACGACCACGACGCCAAAGAGGACGACGATGACGAACACGAGGAAAGGCTGAGGGCGACGTAGGCGACGACGACGACAACGACGCGGGAGGAGGGAGGACGGCGACGACGACGACGACGACGACGACGACGACGCCGCAAGTGCGCACGCGCACGCTTTTGCTGAAAATCCGTCTTGCGAAACCTTGTGTGTTTGTAGTTTTTTTGTTGGACGCGCGATTTTGAAATCCTTCCGAAACCGGTGGTTTTCAAGGATTTCGTCGGCGTACGCGCGCGACGACGCGCGCGTCTGCACTGAGTCCTTTTTTTGCAAACGATTCTCGCGACGGCACACGCGCAAGGGCGTTCGACAGATTTCGACATGCGCGCGCAAAGCCCGTTTGGTAGCATGTTGTGAAAATATTGCGAAATCAATGTTTTCTTAAGATATCGCAGGAGCTCGCGCGTAAACTGTTTTAGCACATCAGTGTTACGAGACCCTGTGTTTTGATCTGTTTTTTGGAAACTCGATTGCGAAATCCTTCCGGCACCGAGATTTTGAAGGATTTCGGCATGCGCGCGCGACGACGCGCGCGTGCACTTCGTCCCATTTGTTGCAAGGGATTCGTGGAAAAGTGCTATGTTAAAACAAAACATGTCACCGCATATTGTTTTTTTATACTGGAACCTCAGGGGGGGGATCCCAGCTGGCCTGGGGCATCGTGATTTCATATTTAGGATGGACACATGGTCAGAATCATATGTGATTCACATACCCAAAAAGGATACCCATAACGCCGGGGGGGGGGGTATATCCTATTCTTTTAGAAAGGAGAATTGATTTTCACCCATGATTTGACACATCCCACGCTCTTGCAAACATCCCACCCACCCACCCGCAACTTGGTTTGCAAAACCTGTTAAGACCGACTACGACGACACCGACGACAACGACTACGACGACACCGACGACGTCTCCCACGACTTCGACGACGACAACAACGACGACGACGACAACAACGACGACGACGACAACGACGACGACGACGATGACGACGCCGACGACAACGAAAACGACGACACCGACGACGACGACGACGACAATGACGCCGCCGACGACGACGACGACGACGACGGCGGCGACGACGACGACGCCGACGCCGACGACGACGAAAACGACGACGACGACGACGCCGACGACGACGACGAACACGACGACGACGTCGCCAACGAAAACGACGACGAGGGAGGAGGGAGGACCACGACGGCGACAACGACGACAACGACGACAATGACGAGGGAGGAGGGAGGACGGCGACGACGCGAACGACGAAGAAGGAGGAAGGACGGCGACACCGACGACGACAACGACGAGGGAGGAGGGAAGACGACGACGATGACAACGACGACGACGACCACGACGACGGCGACGAAGTAGAAAGACTACAACGAGACGCCGACGACGGACGACGACGACGACGACGAAGGAGGAGGAAGGACGACCACGGCGACAACGACGACGGAAATGACCACGACGCCACAGAGGACGACGACGACGAACACGAGGAAAGGCTGAGGACGACGTAGGCGACGACGACGACGAAGGAGGAGGGAGGACGGCGACGACGACGACGACGCAAGAGCGCGCGCGCACGCTTTTGTTGAAAATCCGTCTTGCGAAACCTTGTGCTTTTTGTAGTTTTGTTGGACGCTTGAAAAACCGATGGTTTCCTTAAGATTTCGCAAGAGCTCGCGCGTAAGCTTGTTCAGCGTGTTGCGAAACCTTGTGTTTTTGTATGTTGTTTGGAAATTCGATGGCGAAATCCGGCCGACACCGAATATTTTCGAAGGATTTCGGCATGCGCGAGCGACGACGCGCGAGTGCGCACTTCGTTTCATTTGTTTGCAAGAGATTCGTGGAACACAAATCTTATGTTACAGCCAAATATGTCCCCGCGTATCGTTACACACATATATAATAATAATAATAATCTTAATAATAATAAGAAGAAGAAGAATAATACTAATAATACGAATAATAATAATAATAATTAAAGGGAGCCTCAGGGGGGCGATACCGGGTCCCCTGGGATTGTGTACGCTCATGTTTAGGATGGGCATGCGGTCATAACCATATATGGTTTACATACCCGAAAAAAGGGAAGGGAGAACGCCAGTGGGGTAGAGTCTACTTTTTTAAGACAGGAGAACGGACATCAGTTCGCAATGCGTTGGTAACCCCACTTGTCGCGTAACCATCCCACCCACCCACCCGCAACTTAGTTTGCAAAACCCATGCGCTGGCGACTGTGATGGGTGCTTGGCCATGGCTGGTGCGTCTCTGCGGCCGCGCTACCCCGCGCATGCTCGCGCACGAAGCGGCCAGCTAGTTTGGAACAGTTTGGCGCGACCGACGCGGCCGCGGTGGCGCTGACCGCTGCGCACTTCCCAACGGGAACCTCGTTGCGAGTCGGCGACTTGGGCAGTCGCGGTATCGTGGCACCCTCGACAACAGGGAGGCACGATGATGTTAGTACCGATGCTGGCGAAGATGATTACCATGACCGCGGCAAGGCCACTGATGGCGCCCATACTGATCACGCCGACGACGATGACAGCGCCCCCGCGTCGGCGACAAAAATGATTTAGAATGAACTCGACATGCGCGCGCGGCCGATGCGCAAAAGTGGGCCGCATGATACTATTTGACACGGATCGTGCCCCCCCCCACCCCCCAAACGCGCGCAGGGGCTTTCGAATGAATTCTACATGCGGCGCGAGAGGCCAGCTTGGCCGAATCGAATGACAATGTCAGAGAAGAGATGGTTTTCTTAAGGATTCGCAGGATCGCAAGCGCAGGCGGGCTTTTTGAAAACGACTGTTGCAAACCATGTGGTTTTGAATTTGTTTTTCGGGACACTCGATTTTGCAATCCCTACGAAACCTAATGTTTTCATTACAATCGGCCCCACGTCTCTGGAACAACCACTGGATAACTTGTACCACCCCCTGGACCAACCGGACCATAAGGGCCCCCAACTTACCGGACCAACCGCCGGACGACCGGGACCACCCCCGGGACCATCCCGACCCCTCGGTCCAACCGCCAGACCGGCAGGACCACTCCCGGCTGAGGAGGCCCAGGCGAGCGCGCGTCGAAAGGACCCCCCCCCAAGAGAAAAGCCGGGAGTGGCACGGCGCTCGCACGGCCGCGGCCCCGCCGCGGGACAGCCCCCCCGAAGCCTGACCGTCTGGACCACCCTGACCACCCAGACCAGCCGACCTGCCCAGACCATCCGGACCATGCACCCAGACATCCCGGGCAACCCAGTCCAACCGCCCCCGCGCTCGCCGCCTCGAGCGCGCACGGGCCGCGCTCCCTACGGCAAATTCGTATCGCGACCGCTTCGGCAGTGGTCTCCGACACCTCGTGGATTGCTCAGCCTTGATCGATCGGCGGCTTTTCGATCGCCAGGTCGTTCTACATTGGCAAATTCTGGGCCACTGGCCGCGTTGAACCTTGACCACACGCGGCGGGGTCGCCGCCACGTCGTTACGACCCGAACCTATCGTGCAAGTCCCGACGGGGCGGGGCGGGACAGAAGCTCACTGCGGACAGCATCAGCCCAGCCACTGGGGGGCGCACTGGTGTGACACGTCCTGCTGGGTTTCTGCTTTTTGTCTCGCTGCCATGGCTGCTTCTCCTTCCTTCCAAGTCTCGGCGGCGAGCCTGGGGGGAAGTGAGAAAGGGCGGGCCTTCTCAGAAGGCTCGGAAGTCCCCCAGCCTTCTGAGAAGTTTCCTAAGCCTTCCCCGAAGACACAGAAATTCTCAGAAGGCCAGGGGGCTTCTGGGAAGCCCCGCCGCCTTCTGAGAAGACCCTATCCTTCTCACTTCCCACCCTCTTTCGCCGCCGAAAGTCATGCCTCTCAGCTCTACTGCCGAGGAGGGAGGAGTTGGGGCGCGCCGCCAAATAACAGCACACGATCAGGACAAAGAGTGGGGTGGGGGCTCGGCATGGCGGCTGTTGTAAGTTGCCCCGGGATCCCTTGAAAGACGCCGCCAGACGGCCACGATATCCCGAGAGGAAACGGTGACGGCCCCAGGAGGCCCCGAAGAGGGCCACGATAACCCAACACCGCTGGAAAATGCAACCGAGAAGCTTCTGAGACGGCCCGGGAAGGCCCCGCTACGCCCCCGATAACAGCACATCTTGGAACAACGTAGTGCTTACAGCGCTTCTTGCTCCTTCCATATTTTGCCCCTCGGAGGTCCCAACCTTGCTTTCATGACGCTCCCTAACGCCTCCGAGTTTAGCCAATACCGCCCCTGGATGGTGCCAACATGCCCCAAAGATGGGCCCCAGGAAGTCTTGCCCTCAAAAAAAGTAGGGGAGGCTCTTAGATGTCCTCGGGCCTTCTGGGAAGGCATCTTAGAACCCGACTGGCCGTATGAGGAAACTCCTGGAGGCCTCGCGCAGCAACTCGAGACCTCATGTACGTCGGATCCACGTCGTGTTCACGTCGGGTTGACGTCGGATCCATGCGGGAACATCGCCGCGTGGACGCCGTCCCATATCTTCGGGGGTGGATGTGCGGACTGGGTACACACGACTACTGCGCACCCGCGAGGTCCACGATTTTCCTCACGGTGGGTCCCCTCTCGTGAGCGCTACACTCTCAGAGGGCCACCCCCTCGCGCCGCACCCTCTGCGCGCCGAGGAGCCTCGTCTCTCCTGGTCCAAGCGTTCGGCCCCGGGGTATGAAAGGCGCGCGGGGGGGGGGGATCATGCCGATCCCTGGGGTGGGGGCGTTTCCTCCTGGACCTGCTGGTTACGATGCACGCGGAGCCTCCTGGAGCCGCTCCTGCACCAGCCTGCGCAGCTGCATCGTCCGGCGCAGTCCCAACTCCTGGACGCGCGGAGGGCTGGTGCGAGACGTGGTCACGGGAACCTGGGTCGAGAACGTGAGCCCTGTCGCCGTATGCCCGAGGTGGGAGGGCGTCAACTATTATACACCTACACAGATCCTGGCCAGGCCCATCCCGGGCCCAGGATCGGCGTATGTGCCCTGCTGTCTCGGTGGGAAGCCATATCCGCCGGCCCCCTTGCGGGGCCATCAGACTGCGAAGATCGAGTTCGCTGCTCCCTGCACCACTTCCAATTTCCAGTTTCCAATGTCAAAGGATTGGAATCTGCTTCTTACTGTAAATTGTTACTGTCCGCGCGAGGGTGGGGAGCCGGAAACCGCCCTGGTTCGCGTCCCCGAATCGCGTGCTCTGGATTTCTGGGGGGCCGTGGGAAATGTAAAACACGTGATTCGCGCTCCCGATGCAATCATATTACGCTGTTTTCGCGCCTCCGAGGCCACGATCCGACGCAAATTATGCTGTGTTCGAGTCCCCGAAGCCACGATCCCTCGCAAAAAGCACCACATTCACGCTCCCGGAGTCACGATCCCCCGAAAATTATACCACATTCTCGCCTCTGGGGCCACGATGCCCCGTACATTACGCCAGTCGCGCCCCCGAGGCCACGATCCCCTGTAGATTACGCCACGTTCGCGCCCCCAAGGCAACGATCCCGCGTAAATTACACCACGTTCGCGCCCCCGAGGCCACGATCCCGCGGAAATTGCGCCACGTTCGCGCCCCCGAGGCCACGATCCCGCGTAATTTGCGCCACATCCGCGCCCCCGAAGCCACGATCTCCTTTCAGAGGCCCCAAGAAGCGCCCAAGACGCGCCCAGGAGGCTTTCAAGCAGCCCAAAAGAGACCCCACGAGGCCCCAAGAGGCTCCCACGAGGCTCCCAAACCGCCTCCAAGAGGCCCCCGAGAGGCTCCCCACGACACCCCAACACATATGCAAGAGGCCTCAGACCCACAACCCAGGCACGGCGGCGGGATGGGCCGAAGGCCACTAGGATCCGCCGCCCCCTGTGGTCTTGCCACAGGGGTGCACGGCGTGCTGGATGCTTCAGGTTTTGGTTTTGGTTCTTTTTCTAAAAGAACTCCCCAATGGGCTTCGGCCCGTCCCGCCGGCCACCCGCAAGTTTCCGAAAATCCATCTGCCAATGCCTTTGTTGCCCCAACTTGGCCCAAGATGGCCTCCAAGACGGCCAAGATGGCCCAAGATGGCCTCCAAGACGGCCAAGATGGCCTCCAAGACGGGTAAGATGGCTCCACGATGCACCCAAGACGGTCCAAGATGGCCTCAAGATGGTCTAAGACGGCCCAAAAGGCCCGCAAAAGGCCTCCAAGACGGCCCAAGAGCCCTCCAAGACGCCCTCCAGGAAGGCCCGAATAGGTTAAAATCATTGACTTTCCCCAGGTTTTTGAAGGATTTGGGCACGTTCTTCTTTTCAGCTCTCCGACGGCCCAAGACGGCCCAAGAGGTCCCCAACATCGCCCCAACAGCACCCAAGAGGCCTCCAAGATGGCCCCATGACGGCCCAAGAGGCCCCCAAAAAGGCCCCAAGAGGGCCTCAAGACGGCCCAAGAGGCCTCCAAGACGCCCAAGATGGCCTCCAAGACGGCCAAGATGGCCCAAGATGGCCTCCAAGATGCCTCCAAGACGGCCAAGATGGCCTCCAAGACGGGTAAGATGGCTCCAAGATGCACCCAAGACGGTCCAAGATGGCCTCAAGATGGTCTAAGACGGCCCAAAAGGCCCGCAAAAGGCCTCCAAGACGGCCCAAGAGCCCTCCAAGACGCCCTCCAGGAAGGCCCGAATAGGTTAAAATCATTGATTTTCCTCAGGTTTTTGACGGATTTTGGCACGTTCTTCTTTTCAGCTCTCCGACGGCCCACGACGGCCCAAGAGGTCCCCAACATCGCCCCAACAGCACCCAAGATGCCTCCAAGACGGCCAAGGCATCCAAACAGGCCCCCAAGATGCTTCCAAGACCGCACACGTGGCCCAATATAAACCCAGAGTAGCCAAAAAGGCACTCAAGAGACCTCCTCCTCCATTCCCCCCCTTCCTATCTCTCCTCTCCTCCCCGTCCTCCCCCACGTGTTCCCCGAAGGCTGTAAAGACCGATTCGGGGAACATATGGCCCAATAACTTGGCAGACCTCTGGCCACAGCAGTCGGCCGCATCGGCGCTTCCGAAAGGGCAGGGGGCGGCGGTGATTCGCCGTAGGCGTCTTCGATCCGCCGCCCCCTGTGGTCTTGCCACAGGGGTGCACGGCGTGTTGGATGTTTCAGGTTTTGGTTTTGGTTCTTTTTCTAAAAGAACTCCCCAGTGGGCTTCGGCCCGTCCCGCCGGCCACCCGCAAGTTTCCGAAAATCCATCTGTCAATGCCTTTGTTGCCCCAACTTGGCCCAAGATGGCCTCCAAGACGGCCAAGATGGCCCAAGATGGCCTCCAAGATGCTTCCAAGACGGCCAAGATGGCCTCCAAGACGGGTAAGATGGCTCCAAGATGCACCCAAGACGGCCCAAGATGGCCTCAAGATGGTCTAAGACGGCCCAAAAGGCCCGCAAAAGGCCTCCAAGACGGCCCAAGAGCCCTCCAAGACGCCCTCCAGGAAGGCCCGAATAGGTTAAAATCATTGATTTTCCTCAGGTTTTTGAAGGATGTTGGCATGTTCTTCTTTTCAGCTCTCCGACGGCCCAAGACGGCCCAAGAGGTCCCCAACATCGCCCCAACAGCACCCAAGAGGCCTCCAAGATGGCCCCATGACGGCCCAAGAGGCCCCCAAGAAGGCCCCAAGAGGGCCTCAAGACGGCCCAAGAGGCCTCCAAGACGCCCAAGATGGCCTCCAAGATGGCCTCCAAGATGCCTCCAAGACGGCCAAGATGGCCTCCAAGACGGGTAAGATGGCTCCAAGATGCACCCAAGACGGCCCAAGATGGCCTCAAGATGGTCTCAGACGGCCCAAAAGGCCAGCAAAAGGCCTCCAAGACGGCCCAAGAGCCCTCCAAGACGCCCTCCAGGAAGGCCCGAATAGGTTAAAATCATTGACTTTCCTCAGGTTTTTGAAGGATTTGGGCACGTTCTTCTTTTCAACTCTCCGACGGCCCCAGGCGGCCCATGAGGTCCCCAACATCGCCCCAACAGCACCCAAGAGGCCTCCAAGATGGCCCCATGACGGCCCAAGAGGCCCCCAAAAAGGCCCCAAGAGGGCCTCAAGACGGCCCAAGAGGACTCCAAGACGCCCAAGATGGCCTCCAAGACGGCCAAGATGGCCCAAGATGGCCTCCAAGATGCCTCCAAGACGGCTAAAATGGCCTCCAAGACGGGTAAGATGGCTCCAAGATGCACCCAAGACGGCCCAAGATGGCCTCAAGATGGTCTCAGACGGCCCAAAAGGCCAGCAAAAGGCCTCCAAGACGGCCCAAGAGCCCTCCAAGACGCCCTCCAGGAAGGCCCGAATAGGTTAAAATTATTGATTTTCCTTAGGTTGTTGAAGGATTTTGGCATGTTCTTCTTTTCAGCTCTCCGACGGCCCAAGACGGCCCAAGAGGTCCCCAACATCGCCCCAACAGCACCCAAGAGGCCTCCAAGATGGCCCCATGACGGCCCAAGAGGCCCCCAAAAAGGCCCCAAGAGGGCCTCAAGACGGCCCCTCCTCCCGCTGCCCCTCCTCGCCCTCCTCACTCACCCCCTCCTCCCGCTGCCCCTCCTCCTCCTTCAGTTGCTCTTCCTCCACATGCTTCTCCCATTCCTCCTCAATCGTCGCCGTTGTCGTGAGACAAGCTCCCCCGCCCTTGGTTACTCTATGTGTTCCTTCCCTTCCCTAATCCCCTCCATTCCCTTTGGGCGACCTCTCGACGCCACCGAATAACAGCAGCAACAACGAAAACCAAGGCAGTACCGCAGGGAGGGAGAGCATCAACAACAACACATGCAACTCTCGCCGCAAAGGATCTCACCAATTCACTATTACTGCAAATTGGATTTCATTATGCCCTTTATCTTCTTGTTCTCTTTCATCATCTCCTCGGCGCATGCTTTCTGGATGGGCTGCTGGGAATACAAGTGGCGTATGGAAATGTACTACATTCACACTATCATTGTTGAAACTACGGGAACACCTCCTCAATGAGATACCGGCTGCTACGTCTTGGTCGTTCAAGGCAACGAACGTCTGTCTCTGAGAAGGAGGAGACGTTCCGTCCGCCTCTCGTCCGCCCCTCGGGCAAACAGAAATCAGCCGACGGCTCACCTGGCCGAGTGTCTGAGAGCCCGACCGTGCCAGAAACAAATTCTGATGATCCGACGCCCCCTGTTGCTTGCAAGAGGGATGCCTGCCGTGCTAAATCCTCTCAGTAGAGGGCAGGAACCTTTTCCGAGAAAACTCCCCCTGGGGCTTCGGCGCGTCCCACCGGGAACCCGGAAAGACCTTCCAGTGCCCAATCCCCAGAAAAATCACCACGAGACGGCTCAAGATGGCCTCCAAGATGGCAACGTTGGCGCAAGATCGCCTCCAGAATTATCCAAGATGGCCTCCAAAATCGACCAAAGGCATACAAAATACCACCAAGTTCGCCTAAGAAGCCTCCAAGACGGCCCAAGACGCCTCAAAGACAGCCCCAGATAGAAACGAGGCCTCCAAGACGTTCTCCAAGAACGCCCCGAGAGACCATTACCGTTCATTTCATATTGGTCCGAACAGATCTTGTGTATATCGTCTTTTCGGCTTTCCAAAACTCCGCGACATCCCAATAAGCCTCCAAGAGCGCCCCAGAACAGTCCAAGAGGCCTCCAAGAACGCCCCTAGACGGCACAAGAAAGCCCCAAAACGGCCCCAAAGACAGCCCCAAGACGGCCCGGCAGATCTCCCAAACGCCCACGCTGGCGTCCACTACGGCCACGATAAACCCAAGTGAGGCCACAGAGAGGCCCCCAACCCAGCCCAGACGGCGTCAGGCAGAACAGGAAGGCCGCAAGGCATCCAAAGAGGCC